AAGTTTCACAGAATCTGTCCTATAAGAGAACATTTCAAATTCTGATACTATCAAACTGTAACAACTATTCAAATTCATCTAATTAAAACTATACAAAAAGCAGAAATCTGGTAGAACAAACAAACAAAAGTAAAAGACAAGCAGCAATTTGTCTCAGTTAAAAGGATGAATTTCAGGCTCTTATCTATCACATTACTACTAGTGAATATGCTTAAATATTCTCCAGCACACTCACCTCTTTTTGACGGTATTTAATTGCCAGTTTCAATCTTGCAAGATCATTACCACTTTGTTCTTCTATCAAGCTATTATCATCTCTGTAATTAAGAATAATTTCCAATTCCCTGGAACTCCGTGTCTGATCCAGGAGATCTTTTGCAAATTGCTTGCATTGCCGCGACAGTTCCTCATACTCTGACTTAAATTCATTTTCGACTTTACTCAGTTCCTGCAGCTCCCAGCTCAGTTGAAAAGCAGTAAGGAAAGGGTCCTCACTGGATAAAGCAATCAACGATGGGCTCGCCAGAGCCTTGTAGATATTGAGTCTGGACCGAGAGTGGCGGAGGCTGTCCACGTCTGAACTTGAGACACATTCAACACAGTTACAGCGGACCTCGTGTGGCCTGGGCACAGAAACCCCTTTCTGCACAAGTAGCTTTATGATTTCATAATTGTTGGTGTGGGCAGCCAGAATAATAGGTGTGATATCTGGCGTAAATTCTGAAAACTGCTTGTCCAGAAGCACTGGTGGCACCTGTGAAAAAAGGCAAAAGCTCTTACAGGCCTCTTCATTGAAGAAGAGTTATAGAAAATTAAGCTACAAATGGTTTACCACCAACTGATGGATCTTTGCTACTGGCCAGAGTTGAAGGAAACACTTTAAACGCAACAATTAAATTAGCTAAGATAGTCTTTTCCCAGTTAATAAATTACTATAAACAGGGTGCGCTTTTTCATAGAACCTTTTTGTATGTAAAAAATCCATGGGCAACCATTCTTTAGAGCAAATTATTAGATAAACAAGGAAGAGTCAAACACAAATGCTCCTGTCAGGTCCCTTGAAGTGAGAAAGATGGAAACGCTTTCTCATCTCTCTGTGGTTCATCTCAGTTTTATAGGGAAGAAAGAATCATGGGGGAATAACCATTATTCTCTGAAGGAGGCAGTAAACAGGACACAGGCAAGTTAGAGTTATAAAATAAAATAGGCAAGTAAATGAGAAAGAAAATACATGTTTTCTTAAACAGAATGTTGAAAATAAGACTGAGTAGAGGAAGAAACAGATACCTGCTGCAAAGAGCTTAACATCTTAAGGCTCAGTTCTACATTCACATGCATGAAGCAACATATTCTATTTATAGACAAAGTTGGTAGAAAAAGGGGAGTTAGTAGGAAAAGGGTTCCAAGAGATCATGTTTAAAGCCTCTTTTGATGTGTATTTCTGTATTTTCACAAGACTGAATTTCAGAAGACTTTCATTTTAAGCTTGTTTCTTTATTTTAAACTACCAGGCTATAAAGTCTTTCCCAAGTCAAGACGATTCATTAGGCCAGTAAGGTTAAGCACATAGGTGTAATTAGCCAATGTCAATAAAAAAAATGGTACTGGCATCATCACTTACAGACTGCCTTTGGTCCCCAGCTCAATAACCAAGTACAAACTCAACCCACATGTGAGAGGTGCTCTGACTGATGCTCTTTTAGGAGGAAACAAAAATGAAAACATTTGACTCAAAGGTATCTGAAGGCTAGGAAAATAGATGGCCACTGCAGGGAGGAAAAAATGTTTGACAGCACCATGACCACGTTGTCAGGTGGAAAAAAACCCAAATACACAGAAGAAAAGTTAACAGGAAAAAGGTAAAGCATGTGAGAACAGCATAAGAATGAGTTGAAATGGGTTTAGAGCCTTGGGAAAGAAAAGAAGAGAAAATGAAATGCACAGATTCTGACAGAAACTCAATTAAGCTTAAAATAAATGGTATCCTGTGGATATAAAATAAATAAATAAATAAATATAAAAATAAATATATAAATAAAATCCATAGATCCTGGATCTCCTCTCCAACCCCCTTTCTAATCTTCATTATTGTCTATTTTGTACATTTTTTAGCTATTCTGCATGTAAAACAGTTCATAATTGTTCAATGGGACAGTGTCCACATCTAAGATTTCCCATGTTTGTGGCTGTAAAACATGGACCTGAAGAATTAAGTAGCTGAATGAGAGAATTACTTTGGGAGGTGGCCCCTTAAATGGGAGTGGTAAAATGGGGTGGAAAGTCAAGACTGGAGATCTGGTATTCAGGACTATAATCAAAAATTTCTAGGGAAGCAATCCCTGCCCGTCCATAGTGTATTGCTGACCTCGAGTAGCTGTGCTGGATTGTTAGAAGGTATGTGGAGTCAACAGGCAGAGAAATCCCTTCTCTCCCTTCCCATGCACTCAGACATGCACACTCGGCTTGGCACTGGGTCAGGCTGGCACAGAGTCTGTTTTATCAGAGGACTGTGGGATGACTGAGCTAGCTCACTCACCCTCACAAACAAAATAGTGTTGTGTGTGAAGACATATAGAGAAACATGGGTTTAATATTACTCAGGAGATAAGGAACCCAGCTGAGAATATACTGAAGGTAAGTATGGTTGGGGGAGACACTCGGGTATAAGAAGAAGCAGAAGGTCTGTGCACTGTGCCTGGTCTCAGCTGTGGTCAGCACAAAAAACACAACCTGGGAATATGTCTTCTCAGAGGACTCTGGCTCTGTCCACACTGCTCTGTCAGGTCTCCTCCAGGGCACCTCTGCATTATCTGTCACCTCTAGGCTGAACACCATGCAGAGCCCACACGGGGATGCCCGCTTGCCCAGATTGCTTCATTATTTCTGTCCAGTGTGGACTAGGGCTTGAAATCCATGTCTGTTTTCTCACCTGTTCTTGGAGTCAGTGGGGAAAATGAGACACAATTTCAATCCCAATTCTCACTAGTTATTGTAGTCTTAGATTTATCTTCTCTTTGACTTGGAAAAAAGAGAGCACTGAATGCATACACAGACTTTCCCTGCTCTCTAAATCGCAACTGTGGCCAACGCTTTTGAAGCTAGAAAGAGATTAAAATGGTAGAAGAGGTTCAAACTTTGCATTAGTAGAAAGGAGATTCTGGGCCATCATAGATCTGAAAAAGGTTTACAGAGAGGCATGTGTTGTGTTCTGACAGTGTCTGCCACAACTAGTGAGACTTCCTCATGGCCTCAGGTTCAGGGTACCAGGGAGCAAAGGAAACAGCTACAAGGGCAGAAAACCCAAGGACAGAAAGCTTTAACTTCAAACTCACTGACTGCTCAGAGTATTACTCTGTCACTTTGCATGTCACTAGCTTTGTACTTTCTGACAGTACTAAACAAACACTTGCTTCAAGCCCTGCCAGAACCGAAGGCTATCTTAAACATATCATCAGCTGCAAGCTCTGAAAAATTAAGACACAGCTTCAAACAACATGACATTACAATGATTGACTTACACATAGGGTCCATTATCTCAAAAGCTGCTTGTTTTTCTCATAGCTTATCAAAACCTTTCATCTTAAGCTAACTCAGATATCAAGGCTAATGCATGCATTTTGGAATTCATACCATCAGAATTTACCCAAATATAGAACCGTTTATTAAATCATTTCAGCCTTAACTTACTGAAACATTTAAACTTAAAGGGCAAACCCTAAGACTTCAATTTTAATTACATCATTATTTTAACCCCTGACCCTTTACTTCCTATTTTAAGATTTTCTACTAATTTAAACCAAAGATAGAATGTCAAAGCAGTAAGGTCAAATTATTCCCTCATCTGCAGCAAAATGAAGTACTTGTCTTTGAAGTTCTGAGTGCTCTATGGCACTCAGAATATTTCAGCAGTTAATTGTTGACCCAGAGTACTTGCTCTTAAGTTATCAGACTTATAACGAATTTTACTTTCAAAGTACTGAAAAATACTTCTCATTACAGAAGCCAAAACAAATAACCAGCACACACTGACATTAGCCATGCAATGTGAAGCTTTGACAGAACACTCACAGAAAACATATGAATCTTCCTTAAATCCTGGAGGATGAGGAGCTACTAGGTCTTACAGTCATTGACTGTTACTGTAACTTCCCAAGGCTCAGCAGTGGTGCAACTATATTGTAAATTTTGGAGTTAGTGTGTTAAGTGTGAGGCTGCTTAAATTTGGCCAGGTCAAATGATTCTTGTCTTTTTACATTTTGTTGAAAATTTACTTCTTCAGCACTATTTATAGGGCTGAGCAAACCAGTTTGGTGACTGTGTATACTTGTTATATCTTATGGTGATGAGTAGGCAAAAAGAAAACAAAATAGAAAAATAAGAGAGCATAGCTCAAAGTCTGTACACTTCAGTGCTTAAGGACACAAGTGTTTTCTATTGCACTTGTTTTCCCTGCACTCACTGTACGTGGGAATGAATCAGTCTGACTTGGATATCTAACAATCCTTTTAGATACCAAGTGGAACAGTCCTCTTCAATTTGTGTTTATGTTCCCTGTACAGTCTGTGTGAAGAGAAGCTCCTTTGCTATGACAGGAAGAGAAATCTAAGTTAAATTAATGCTATTTAGCTCTGAGACATTTTCCTGTCCCCATGACATCAAAGTAGAGATTGATAGATGATGCTCTCTTAGACATCCAGGAAACAGAAAAATTTAAAAGTTAATTTGGAAAAGGAAGAATGGGAACCCCAGCTGTGTCTTTTTCTCCATCTAAATATCTCATAATGGCTTTCATTGCTGGAATATCTCAAACTGCAGTGCCCATTTACCTACTGATTAGGTGCAAGAGCTCAGAATCTGTGTAAATCTATTTCCCTGGGCAAACAGTTTCCCTGGTTCCTGTCTTTGTTCTTTATTTACAATTATTTTGCCTATTGTTTATAAAAGAAAGCAAATCCTGCAATGGCTTCAAGTAGTTAGGGGAATAAATTTCTGAGTGATGTCAATCATGACAGCATGATTGGAGGTAAAACATAAAGCAAAGGAAAAAAAGAACATATGACATTAGATGAATAGATGTCATCTCATGCAGTACTACATTATATAAGGAAATTAAAATTATAAAGGTGTGTCATCGAGGTGTCAGTTGCTTCAGCACTATTGCTCTATAGCTGTCATCAGCCAAACAGCTTCAAAATTCTTAGCTCTGCATTTCAGTACAGTCCACAGCACACAAGTTATTCCTATGCATATACAGTTTCATGATTTACATTCTGGTTTGTTGAGTTCTGCTCTTCTTTGGTTTGCTATTATTGTATCATTATTTTATCAGCTGAAACACATTCTGATTACAACAAAGGAATTAGTTCCACCAGGAAGGGTTCAAAAATTTCTCCTACCCCAACTCCTTTCACATGTACTAAGTCACTAATAAATATCCAGCTAAATTGAATCACTTGGAGATACAATGTCAAGAAAACTTGAATTCAGTTGTCACAGCACTGGACGGGTCTCTAAACAGCAAATCCTGAAAGTCATGTTGAAACTATCCTCATAAGACCGCATAAACTGCAGGTCTGCAATGGTAGCCCCAGACTTGGCCAAAGTCCTTTGGCCAAACATTTCCTGCTCGCTGTGCATTGTACAGTTGGCATGCTGCGTGGCCATCAAGAGTGGATGGAAGTTGCAGTGGATGGCAGACAAGTGGATGGAAGTTGCCAAACTGAGCTCAGGGACAGCATCGTTTCAGACCAGTGT